CCAATGGTAACTGAATACAAGGGGATCCTTCCTTATCTAATTTGCTTTAAATGCCTGAAGTGTTTACTCTTGACTCTTCGATCTTCACAAATATAAATACCCAGACAGCTTTTACTATTATAAACCATTTTCTGGAAATAATTTGGCATGTGCTATTATCTATAATAATAAAAGCATAATATGCTAATTAGACTGGATGTCCTTCTGGACCAAGCCAGGGCTGTGAGGGGAGTCCTTCCCAGGTGCCAGAGGGAAGCTGGTGTTGGCAGCCGGGGAAAGGAAGGCCTCCTCTTGCACGAATTTCATGCATCGGGCCTCTAGTATCTTAATAATATTCTTTACGTTTGTCAATACACTTAGAATGCTCCCAAACCCAATGCCAAAGGGACTATTAAAATATCCAGGTTATAGTTGAGGAAACGGAGGCACAGAGCTATTAGGTAGCCTTAATATTGAGGCCAGGAAGGATTTCATCTTGGTTGAAGTTTGTTGCTTGTGGTGCTCTTCCTGCATGTCCCCACATCCGTGGCCCCATGATATAAGGTTTGGTCTAAGTTAAGACACTAATGTTAAATAAATATACCATACCAGATTCCTTCTTTTGAAACAATGAACATAACTTCTTTTCAAAAAAGCAATAGATAAGAGAAAACCTGACAGTTCTTTCATCTCAACTCTTCTTGCTATCCTTCCCAAGTGCCAACCCTATTTGTTTCAAAAACATTTTAAAGCGATTCATAACATAGAGCAGCGATTCTTAAGCACTCCTGTGGCATACTGGTGTGCTGTAAGAATTTTTAAAAATGCAATACTTGACTATTTAGTCAGGGGCACTGAACTCTTAGATTGTCAATTTAAAAAAGTAACAACAGCTGCCCTGTGTGAATGAATCAAATTTATACCTATTGGCTAAAAATATATTTTTTGGTGTGCCACAGAATTTTAGTAATTAGTTCATGTGTGCCATGAGATGAAAAAAGTTGACAATCGCTGACTTAGAGTAACTATGCAAGCCCTGGCATTCCATCGTTAACTGTGTCTTATGCCCAGTCATTTTCAAGTTAGTCAAGCTTTGTCAATTCACAGGAGTGCAAATGTAAAATAAATAACACTTACAAATAAACATTGGTAATTTCAAACCATAGCATAAACCTGAAAATTTCTTTTCCCAGATGGATAATTATTTGTATACATCTGGAAGTGGAATCCGCTAAGTAAAGATAGCTATGAAAATTGCTTAAACCCAGACAGTGTGCACACCTTTTTCAGCAGAGCAAAATGGAGTCATCATCAAAATGGAATTTTAATTAAATTGGAAATGGAAATGGAAATTTTATTTTAAAATGGAAAATGTTAGTTTCCTTTAACAAGTAAAATCTAGATTTATTTAACTGCCTATTTCTTCCACACATTCTCAATTAGAGTATTGATTATTATCTGATGAAATATGGAAAATACATATTATCATATCCCAACACTCCTTATCAACTTAGGCATATCCCAAAACTCTTTATCAACTAAGAGGCTTTCATAGTTATTCCAGTTCTTAAATGATGACTTTCATTAATGTTTCTCAGAGAAACGAAATAGCATTCTCCATATTATTTTGTATGTAACTAACTGCCTTATCATACCAATTTTCCAAGTTTCAGAACCATCAATAACCACTTAAATATTACATCATTAGAGTTTTCTGGGTTCTTGGCATGTTATTAATAATGAAACTATGAGAAATTTCCATCTGGTATTTCTAACACTTTAGGGCATTCTAAAAATAGATGTGAGAAGTCTCACAAGTGCCCCCTGATCACATGACAGGACTAAGCTCCATGGAAAGATGTCAGTGAAATAGTTTTTCATCTTAAAGGATTCTTAAAACAGGCTCATTTTCCTATAGGAAGATTTAAAAAATCACGATGATTCATGATAATCAAGAATTTTTTGATGATTGTCGTTGGAGGGAATACATTTTTTATAGCTTTGTTGAGGTAAAATTTATATATATATAATATAATATAATAAAAGAGAAACATGCAAATTGGCCACACCTCTGCTATGCCCCAAGCCACACCCACCAGCCAATAAGAGCAACTATATGCAAATTAACCCAACCAAGATGGCGGCCACGGAGCTGGAGCAAGCAGGAGGCTTGGTTGCCCTGGCGATGGAGGAAGCCAAGCTTCCCGCCTGCCCTGGCTGCCTGTGGCCTCCGCTCAAGGCAACAAAGTTTCAATTATAAAAGATAAATAAATCCCAGATATCTGCTTCCAGCCAGTCTCCACTGGGAGCTTGGGGGCCTGGGGGGCTTGGCCAGCCTGCAAACAGCCATCAGCCCCTCACCCAGACTGGCCAGGTACCCCAGCAAGATCCCCCACCCTGAAGGGGCTGTGGCCAGCCTGCAAACAGCCATCAGCCCCTCACCCAGGTTGGCCACACCCTCATGGGGTGAGGGTCCCCACTGGAGGGCTTGGCCAGCCTGAAAACGGCCCTCAGCCCCTCACGCAGGCTGGCCAGGCACCCCAGCGGGGACCCCCACCCTGATCCGGGACATCCTTCAGGGCAAACCAGCTGGCCCCCACCCATGCACCAGGCCTCTATCCTATATATTAAAAGGGTAATATGCATATTGACCCTAACAGCAGAACGACTGGGAATGACTGGTCACTATGACACACACTGACCACCAGGGGGCAGACGCTCAATGCAGGAGCTGCCCCCTGGTGGTCAGTGCACTCCCACAGTGGGAGCTCTGCTCAGCCATCAGGCTGATGGCTGCCAGTACAGCGGTGGTGGTGGGAGCCTCTCCTGCCTCCTCAGCAGCGCTAAGGATGTCCAACTTCAGCTTAGGCCTGCTTCCTGCTGGCAAGTGGACATCCCCCGAGGGCTCCCAGGCTGCCAGAGGGATGTCTGACTGCCAGCTTAGGCCCAATCGCCCAGGGAGCGAGCCTAAGCCAGCAGGTGGTCATCCCTGGAGGGGTCCCAGACTGCGAGAGGGCACAGGCTGGGCTGAGGGACCCCCCCCCCCACCAAGTGCACAAATTTTTGTGTACCGGGCCTCTAGAGTGTGTGTGT